TTATTGGATACCCCTGTCAAAGTGTCGCGAAGTCAAGGATTTCGCCGTGACTACTGATAAACCCCTGACCCGCGACAGAATTGGTGGTGAACTGTGAGATACGACATTCGTTTTCCCCCCGATTTTTTCACCGAACGAAACTTCAGAAAAGGAGGAGAGAAACATAAGTAATCGAAAAAGAGTGAACAAGATGGATGCAGAACAATTGGAACAGCTCCTGACGAACCTTGCCCGGTCATTTGAAACTGCAACCACCAACATCCTTAATGGAAACCGAGGAAGAATGCCAGAGACGAACCATGTGCCGGTCAAATACTTTGCCGGAAGAGAAGACGAAGACCCTGTTGAATGGATGGAAGAATTTGAACGAGCCGCAACAGCTAACAATTGGACAAATGGACGAAAACTTCGAATTGCCCCTGGGTATCTAACCAACCTAGCTGCCGATTGGTATCACGAGAACAAAGAAGATATCGAACAATGGCGTGACGATAACGATATGCAGCATAGTTTTTATCACGCGATGATCAGTTTTTTTTCCACACCCGAAAAAAGACATCGATGGCAACAAGAATTATACGAACTGGTCCAACAAGACGACGAACGAGTGGATACCTATGCCGCCAAGTTTAAACGACTCCTGTCTCGAGTAGACCCTGAAGAAAGAATCCCTGGGGACTATGTAGTAAGCATGTTCCTGAAAGGCCTCAAGAGTAATACTGCCACCTTTGTTGCAGTCACCGCTCCGACAACACTGACGGAAGCAATTACAGCTGCCCGAAGAGTTGAAGCAGGAAACTATTACGGACAACAGAAATACAAGGCAACGGAAAGCTATACAAACCAAATACGTGAAGAAATGAAAGGTTTAACGAAGCAAGTACAAGAAATGTCTCTGAATTATGCCGCATTAGCTGCTCGAAACGTATCCAGGAGAAGTACCCCCCCAGACCAGAGGAATACACCAAGAGTTATAAGATGCTACCGCTGCGGAAGGGAAGGACACTATTCCCGTGAATGCCCCGAAAATGCACCACCAGTGCCAGTAGTACCTACAGCCGAGAATCCTACGCTAAATGTTCACTATTGCGAATGGCAATCAGAGGATGAAGATGACATGGACGTTTACGTTGCGGGAGGCACCACACCCGCCAGAAGAGGGAGACCTAAGCGCAAGCCTGAGAGTAGCTTGGGTGGATCGAATCGTGTACCTAAAATTAGGAGAGCTGTTAACCCGGTGGAACCAGTGGAGATGAATACCCAACCTATGAAAGAGGAGGTACCAGTGAAGAAAGTGAAAAGAAAAAGAGAACCATCAGTAATTGATTCCCTAGACCCTTATGATGTAGCGGACGATATCTTAGCTTTACCTGCCACCGCGACAATAGGACAAATGTTGCAGTATCCGAACCAGCGAAGAAACTTAGCAAAACTCTTACGACGACCTGCAGCTATGCCCGAAACTCATCACGTACGACCTGCTAGTACCTGTAGAACCACTGCCGCGAAGTGTTACGCGAAGATCGAGGGAAAACCGATTATAGCTGTATTAGATTCAGGTGCCGCTGTAAGTATTATTACTAAAAAGCTTCTAGACCGTCTGCAGATGCGAATTGAGGAGAAGTCTACAACTACCGTCATTACGGCCAATGGGACTAGAGAAAGGACTCTAGGAAAGATTAGAAATGTTAACGTTACAGTTAAAAAGATCACCATTCCGACAACCTTCCAAGTTATCGAATCCAGAGACGAAACCCTTTTGTTGGGAACAGATTGGTTCCAGAAGGCAAATGCAAGGATTCATTTCGATGAACAGAAACTATACCTTAAGTATCAAGGCCAATCCGCGGAAATCCCGATTTCTCACAACGACGCAACGTACTTGCAGACACCGGAAGAGACGGATGTAAGTGATGAAGATCCCGACACATGTGATGAATTCGAGTACGAAAGTGAAGAGTTAGAAGAAAAAGAAGGGTACTATACGGAGGAGCGGTCGGATGGAGAACTGTATGAGAACCCATGGGAAAACATGCAGAGTCCGGCAATATATATGACGACCCTTGAGGAAATACCTACCCGTGATGGAGACCATGACGAACGTCGAAACGACGAAGGAACCCCGAAGCAGAACGTTGACATCCGCCTAACGAAGGAAGAACTGGAAGAAGCCACGATATTCTTTGAAAAAGAGAAGGACCTTTTCGCGAAGGATATCACGGAGTTAACTCAAACTGATGTCATTCACCATGTTATCGACATAGGGGATGCGAAACCGATAAAGCAAGCCCCCTATCGAATGGCGCCAGACGAACATGATTACGTTCGAGAAGAATTAAAGAAGATGAAGGAACAAGGTCTAATACAGGAATCCATTAGCCCTTGGTCCTCCCCTATAGTTATCGTGCAAAAAAAGAACGGAGCGAAACGACTATGCGTCGATTACAGGAAATTGAACGTAGTAACAAAGAAGGACGCAAACCCGTTACCACGAATTGACGACCTGCTAGAAACGTTGGGACAAGCTAGCTGGTTCTCTAATCTAGATCTCGCCAGTGGATATTGGCAAGTACGAGTACATGAAAATGACCGCGAAAAAACTGCGTTTGTAACAAAATTTGGCACCTACGAGTTTAAGGTTATGCCATTCGGGTTATGTAACGCACCGGCCACTTTTCAACGGCTTATGAACACGGTTTTACATGAGTGTATAGGACGATTTGTCGCCGTATATCTAGATGACATTATTGTCTACTCACGTACCTACGAAGAGCACCTGGAGCATTTATCACGAGTTTTCGAAGAACTAAGGAAAGCCTCGTTGAAACTGAACTCTGAGAAGTGTAGTTTCTTCTTACCTAATGTGGGATTTCTAGGCCACATCGTAGGAAGGGATGGCATCCAACCGAATTTAGAGAACGTAGAGAAAGTAAAGAATTACCCGACCCCCCGAAATTTAAGACAGCTAAGAGGATTTATAGGACTTGCCTCATACTATCGGAGGTTTATAAAGAATTTCTCTAGCATTGCGAGACCTCTACACCAACTATTAGAAAAGAACGCACCGTACAAATGGGAAGAAGACCAACGAAATGCTTTCGAAATTTTGAAAAGACACCTGATTTCGGCACCGATCCTCAGATACCCCGACTTTGACCGAACGTTCTACTTACATACAGATGCCTCGGGAACAGGATTGGGCGCTATATTATCACAAATTGACGATAAGAAGAATGAATATGTGGTCGCGTATGCGAGTCGAGGTTTAACAAGACCCGAGCGAAACTACGCAGCAACGGAATTGGAGTGCTTAGCGGTAATTTGGGGAGTTGAATATTTCCATCATTACCTCGGCATGAAGCCCTTCATAGTGGTCACGGATCACTCTGCTCTGAAGTGGCTTGAAACATCCAAGTTAAAGGGACGGAGAGCACGATGGATTCTACGACTCCAACCCTATAACTATACGATTGTACATCGCGCTGGCAAGAAACACACCAATGTGGACGCGTTAACTCGAGCAAAGAAAAGAAATATGAAATGTAATGACAACAACGTAACTAAAGAAATTACAAAGAAACAAGTGATGACCTCGCCGGGCCCTATTGCCCATTGATCGATCCTGAAAAAAAAAAAAAAAAAAATCCGAGGAACAGAATCCAGTCCAGGTACCGGTGTCCTGGCGTTTTAAAGAAAAAAAAAAAAAAAAAAAGAGAGAAGAAACATGGAACCCGATAACTATCGACAACTACTTAACTACCTAAAGAAACAACGACTACCCGCGAATGCCACGCCACAACTAACACGACGACTACAGGTGCAAAGTAGTTACTTTGTACAAAAGGATGGATTATTATACAAAAGGAACAAACACCAACCAGGCCGACTACTACGAGTACTACAAAGACACGAGTTAGAACCGATACTGTACTTAACGCACACGCATCCACTAGGAGGACATTTCGGTAAAGACATTATGTTTAAGAAGAT